ACAAACATAAGGCTCGGGGACAGACACAGAGGTCTATGGAGGTCAATCATGGACTGACAATTTATCTCAACTGGTTATCAAAAAAAAACAAAAAAAAACATACTGAAAAATCCAGCCCCAAAGCATGACAGAGCCTGCTATCTGCTCTACTAAATGTTTCAAACCGAAACTTGTATATGATGATTTTTTTTAGAGATTCCCAATTGTTATGGAGCGTATTTACAAATTAGATTTACAGAACAGTCGTTAATGAAATACAAAGAACACAGAGTCTTAAGATCAAGAATTCTAGAAACATGGTGAGATCTTTCAGGTCCTTCTGTGTGGGTCACCTCTGATAATTAACAAGTCGGTTCTTCTCTGCAGGCCCCTGAGGCAGCCTGCTGTGATTATGGCAGCAGAGTGTGAATGTCACAGTGAGCAGAGAGATTCTGTGCCATTGTTTACTGAAACCTAAGAAGGTTAATCCCTCAATCTTTGTGCAGAAAAAAAACAATCAGATCAATCAAAATCATCACATCATCTGCAAAATAAATTCACGAAAATTTTAGGACGAGATGTCTAAACATATTCAATTTTTAACAGAAATTTCAATAACAACACTAAAATATATTAAATATTACTACTAATAATAAAATGAATATTTCCTGGTATAACCTTGTAAAATATGTATTAAAATTAATAATATATATTAGAATATTATTATAACTAATATAATATTACTATTGTTATTAGTGGTGGTAGTAGTTGTAGTTATTGTATTCAAGTTCCATTTTTGGAAAAATTAAATAAATGCTGGAATTTTGCCAATAATTCTTTCTTGAAATTTCCTGCTACGAAACATGGAATGTTACTGTGTTAAACATAAACATGGACATTTGCAATGAAGTCCAAAACATCAAAGTTCTACTTGAGCTGCTGAGACAGAGGAGAAAGACGGAGCCTTCGGTTGATGCTCCTTTTATACCAAACATTTTTACTTCAACCCGTGACTGGAGTCAGTTTTCTGATGGTGTTGAGTTTGACTTTTGTTCCCGTTCACCAACACGACTGATGTTCTTCAGTGAAAACATTTGTCCCGACCTTATCGTTAAAACGGTTTCTCAGGATTCAGTGTCACCATGACAACTTCATCACAGGGAATAGTTTTGGATGTTAAACACAGCCCAGTCATGTGAACTGCACCAGACCAGCGGCATTACGTAAGGCGGCCAGGCTGATGTGCCGCCCTGAGGCCGAGTGAAGCCCGGTCTCTGTGTGACGATCAACAGGAGGTTTTTGTCTTAAGGATTAGAGACTAATTGGACGTGTGACACATGACAGAGAATGACTACCATCTTTAGAGGACTCTTAATCAATTTACTTCAGGAATTACACATGACACTGACCAAAGGATTTTCTTCTTCTTATCATTATTGTTGGAATGGGTCTTTTTATCGGTGCTTAAATCCTTAACAGAAGGAAAATGACTCAAAAAAAGAACATGATGTTAAGAGTAAGAGTTAAATCAGCTGTGGTTAGTCATGTCTTCATGAGTTAAGGCCTGGAAAAGGCCAGAACCCATCATGAAATCCATTTGACTGAAACAATGTCTCATTTCAATGAAACCATTTTCATTTTTTCCGTCAAAAAATAAAACTTAAAAACACTTCATTCTAAAATGAGAGGCACTTCTGTCCAGAGGTTCAGAACAGGGGGCGGGGGTCAACGTATGGTCAACGCGTTCAACCAACTACAGGTATAGATTTTGAATGCAATTTTGAAAAAGGAACAATCATTTCCGAAAAACAGGATCGTTGCTCAGCCGTTCAAAACACTGTGTCACAACTGGAAATCTGCATCATTGTTCTTATACAGGATTAACGATGAGACTAATTAATTGAAATATGGACTTTGAATCTTGATTGTATTGATAACTGATTGGATGTGTATTGTTGTGTCTACCTGTAGCAGTGGGTGATGTAGGGTGATCTCCAGCTCTGCCAGCCTGTGTGCTGGGTCTTCACACTCCTCATGGATCTCCAGGTCTTCTATGGGCACCGTATCCCAGCGACCGCAGTTAGCGGCCAGCTGGTGTACTAGTTCATACTGGCCGGGCAAAGCCAAACTGAGCCGTGTCTGTCTGCCGTGAGTGAAGCACAACTTCCGCCTCTTGCAAACAGTGCCTTGGACTCCTTCACAGGCCTCCCCGGCCTCAGGGCCCAGCGGCAGCAGCCGTTCCCCCAGAAGGCAGTTGAGCAGTTGGTAGCGGGCAGCACAGTCCTGTCCCAGTATCACTATGTAGGGGGCAGCACCCACGGTTTTGCGTAAGAATTCTTCCTCGTGGCTGGGGAAGGCGATGCAGCTCAGCTGTCCTGAAGGAGCACAGGGAGTAAAATGATGTTGACGCTGTTAGAACGGCCGTGGTGAGTTTAAGGTATCGGTAAAAACTGGAAAAACATAGACGTAGACATGTTACAACACCTAAATCTCACATTTCTTGGGTTGTCATTAGTTAAAATATCTAGGGCCAGCTTAACCCAATTTGGACTGACAGCACCCCTCCAGCAGATGGTGCTCTAGGAAACCGCCTATAACGCATAATGCCGAAATAGCCTGTACTGATGAACACAACCACGTGTAATTGTAAACACGATCCTCAGTCATGCTGAGTTACAGTCCAGTAATGGTTATACAACAAGAATCAGGGGCAGCAGAAACTCACTTCTATTTCATTTGTCAAAGTTTTCCAAGCAGACATGAAAATGAAATGCATTCCTCAACTGTTTCTCCCAAATTATTAGATATAAAAACTTGGGTTTTTTTTTTACACTGATCTGTGCGGATTAGTGGACTGCATGACCATAAAGAGACAGAGTCGGTGCAGACCAGTGAAAGAAACCCAAGATCAAACCCTACAGTGTTATTCCACAGCACTGCCTCACGTCTAAATTGTAAAATTAAATCAAGTTCAAATTAAAATGTGTGTAAAGTAAATGACGTTGCATTGTTTCATGTCTCTGTAGACCAGGTCGAATCTTCGACTTCAGATTAGGAAACGTAATTATGACCTCTGAATGGACGACAACAGCAATTACCATTAGTAAAACTGAAAATGAACTGAATTATAATTTATATAATTTAAAAGAATTTAGCCGTAGAATCACATGGTAAAAACAACCATAGTCATTACGAGAGATTATCCTAAAATCTACCGGTGTTAAAGGTATCGTTGTTAATAAAACATCTGGCCCTTCAAAGTTGGCCTGAAATCTTTCCAAGTCAAAAAATACATCTACCCTGCCCCTGACACACTAACAC